TTTGTTGGTCTTTGAAATAATCTTTAAATTTAATAAGAAACTGCCTTGGATTTTCATTAGCTGCTTGCTGTAATCATCAAAATGAACAGGAATGTGTCATTTTGTGTGAAATAAATCTAGATATGCAATATTGTTTTTTTCTCACTACTGAAATAAATTACCTTTTTGATTCTTTTTTTATTGAGATGAACCTGTATACTCCAGCGTCATATTTTGTACTTTATGCTGCTCCTAATTTGAGGTCCTTTCTGGCACAACATGACATTTGGTAAAACTGACAGTGTTAAAATAAATTTTGGAGTTGTTTAAATCTGTTACTACATCCATGGCAGCAGCATTCATCATCCCATTAGGTCCTGTCATTAATGGTATGGTGTAATTTTCAGGAAATGACACAGTGTACTGGACAGATATGGGGCTCAACAGAATATCCCGCGCCAAACGTGATCAGACCTGGCGGGAAGACGTCATCACTACAGGCATCAGTCGAGTTGAAGGCATCGCTGTTGACTGGATCGCTGGTCAGTACTGTGTCTCCCCAGATTATGGTGTTATTACTACAGCCTGTCAGCTTGCTAGTGACAGTGGACGATTTTTACTTTCTGTTCACTGAGTCTAGTTCTGGCAGGAAGTAGAAGCTTAGGTTTGCTGTTGCTCCTCAATAAAAAAAATCAAAAACAAAAAAACTCTTCAGCAAATAAAGTAAAATCATTCATTGCAAGAATACAAATGCAACATGACGTAATGTACTGCATTTTATTTAAATTATGTTTATCAAAGGAAGTATTTGGTAACAAAAAGACTCTAGACGGGGTATAAAATTGTTTATGGTGTCAGATTTAAAGAACATGTTAAAAATTCTCATACCATTAAGTTCACCTGACAAGTTTTCTCTTACAATTGCTTTTCTTGTTTCCATTTGAAGTGGTGTATTTTAAATTTCAAGTCACTGAATTTTCATGGATGTTTGTCTAATTTTTAAGGTTTTAAATGGGCTTGGATCCTCCAACCACTGTAATAAATTACAAATACATGTTATTGACTCTATCACATCAGTCAGTTAAAACAGTGGTGAAAACAAATAATGTATCCATACACAAATAGCCTATTTCTGTCTCCCTAACCATATACTCACGGTGTATTCCTGTCCATTGTAGAGTATATTTCTTATGCATTAACGTTTTGTGTCTACACAGGAAACCTGTACTGGACAGATCATGGTTTTAATCTGATTGAAATCTCCCGCCTTAACGGTGCATATCGCTCAGTGGTGATATCTGAAGGACTTGACCAGCCAAGAGCCATTGCTGTCCATCCACAAAAAGGGTAAGGAATGTCTCTCTGTTTTATGATTCTGTTGTCCAGTCTTGCAGTGCGACAGGCTGCAACCAGTGGGATCAGTTGGGTTTTTGATTGTATGAGGATGTATAGCAAACTGATTATTACTTAAACTCTGTCGTTTTCCTTAATGAGAAAAACTGGTTCTCACACCAGACCTTGTCTAAGCACTTGAACGGTTTCATGTTTGTTTACCTGCTTATTGATGCATCTATTCAGTCAGCCAATTACTTGCCAGCTTTGCTGTGCATTAGACCATACACATGCAGCTTCTGTTAGTGTCGGCATCAAACAGAAACATTGAGAAAAATGTATTCTTAGTGATTCATGCCAGACTGCCTCGATATTGGCAATTGAGAATGTATATTAAAAACATTTTCCTGGCATTCCCCACTGTTTAGCCGGCCGATAAACATATGTTTGAGTAGTCAGAGGTGAAAGCAGAGAAAGATTAGAGCAGACTATAGATATATATGTAGTTATCTAGGCTATAATCATAAAGACCCAAGCCTCTGAAATGTGTGGCTTCATTGTGATGTTGTGCACAACAGCTGGAAAGATGTTAAGTTGTTTGAAACAACTTATTGTTCGTGATCTTTTATTCTAGCATGAATTGTTAAGATCTTTTACAAAGCACTTCTCTCATGGTCACTTATATGATACCATCTTTAAAACTATGTGTAGTTTTTCATAATTCAGTCACTTTATGAACAACGAAACAATTACACCAGCAGCAATCATATCTGCTGATATGAAGCAACATGAATCTGTTTCCATATGGTTCAAATCAAATTCCTTTGAAATTAATGTTGAAGCTGAAATTGAGACTCATGGAATCAAACAGCAGTTTCCAACCTGTGGTCCGGTTTTGATGAACCTGTGTGAACTGTAGCCCCAGTTTCCTGACAGGAATGACACCCAGTATGGTTTTCTTTTTAACGAGTGGTGTATAAAGCTACTAGTGCATTTCTATCATCTCAAATCAATCTGCCTTTTCTCCACCAACCTCTGACATCAACAAGGTATTTTCCTTCGCATCACTGCTGCTCACATTACCATTTTCCCTTTTTAGACCATTTTCTTTAAATCTAAGAGATGGCTTGCATGACAATCCAAGTGTAATGGCTGTTTTCTGAAATACTCAGACCAGCCTGTCTGGCACCAACATCCTTACCCCATTTGAAGTAAATTAATTTCCTTTTTTTCCCATTTTGATGCTTGATTTGTACTTTGACAAGTGATCTTCACCACACCCGGCTGGCTAAATATATCAAGTTGCTGCCATGTAATATGCTGAGTCACTAATTGTGCTAAGTCTGTTTCAGCACAGTTTAGACACATCTTATAAGTGTCAATATTGAAAATGTATGCATGTCAGATGTTGCCATATGTTTTTGCCTTAAATCCCAATGCTGCCTACTTGCAAGAACTGCCTGACATTGTCACATCCACTGACTAATGAGGCACATTTGGCAAACCCTTACATAAATTTACCATGACAGCAATGTCAATACTTCTCTTGATGACCTGGAGGGCTAATAGTTGCAGGTTAATGTCAGTCTCCCATTGCTTGATTTTTTCTGAAAATTACAGAGATTGACAGATGACAGTTCTGACTTGAAGCGTTTTAAAAGGTACTCTGTTGAGCTTAAGGTCAAAACCAATGTAAGGGGTTGTTCTGGGTGTCAAACAAGGACAAAACATAATCTGCAGTCTAAGATATGCTTTATTGTAGAGCTCTTATTATTTTCTGTTAGGCAACACATACTGGCAGTAATCTACAACTAAAGTCCAGTAATCTGTTCTATCTTGTAGCGCTTTAGCCTGCTGTGTCCAATGTGGGTTTTCTTCATTGTCTTATTCTCTTTGTGGAAGTTAAGCCAAGTGGGTAAAGGTCACTTTTTGTGTGGGTCCAATTATACTTGACAGTTACCTTTTCTGGAGCGAATGGGGGCAGAATCCCTGCATTGGCCGCTCTCGTCTGGATGGCTCAGACCAAGTTACCCTGGTTAATTCGGGCATCATATGGCCCAATGGGATTTCCATAGACTTTGAGGTACAGTCTACAACACAAGCATTGTCTTCAACCTGATATACTCAGATATCCTACACCTCCTCTTTCATCATTTTGCTTTCTTTGTGAAATTTTAATATGCATAAGAGGGTGGGTCTTTGATCTGCATTTTTTAAATTACCTTCCAGGAAAACGCATTATATTGGTGCGACGCACGCACAGATAAGATCGAAAGGATCAACCTTGAAACAGGTGAGAGCCGGGAGATTGTAATGTCAGCGGCCAACGTAGACCTGTTCTCTGTGGCTGTGTTTGGGCCTTACATCTACTGGTCTGACAGGTAATTTATTATTTTCCTAAATACACTCAAATTCCCTGGCCTGCAAGGCCCTGTATTTTAACTTAACATCAACCTAAGTCGACAAGCGTCTCGTGTGAAAATATTACAAAAAGCAATTGTTCTTACCAAAAGTCAAAGCCTATTTTTGTGAATGCAGACAGAAACCTTTGTCACCAGCATCCTAAATCCTTCTTCATCCCAGTTATAATGGCTTATTTAGACTCATATTTTTCACGTGACTCACATTTAAACTAGTGGAAAAAACGGTTAATTTACTTCTCCCTAATTTCCTGTGCAACTAACCTGCATGCATTTCTTTTTTTGTGGAAAGAAAAGCAAAAGAGTAATGCCCCTTTTTTATCAGTTCTATCAAGAAAATGCTGTTTCTTTTTTACCCCTTCAACTTGCCTCAATCAAAACCTGGACTAGACCATTTCTTAAGCATATATTTATTAGTTGCCATCATTTATTTATTTTTGTTAATAATGTTCAGGGCCCATTCCAATGGCTCAATCCGGCGAGCTTTTAAGACCGACGCCAGTGAGGATGTAACCATGAAGAGTGGCCTAGGGGTCAATTTGAAAGATGTGACAGTTTTCAACAGAGATAGGGAAAAAGGTAGGATTTCACTTTATAGTCTGATTCATTTTTCATTACACATTCTGCCACTTTACATCTTTTGTAATTAGTTTGACACATACATCTCTGGTTTTCTTATTTCCAGACAAACAATCAAGTTTATTTGTTAAGCTTAAAATCTCAAAGTTATGCAGCAGTACAATTATTAATGTTTATCAGTCTTCAAATGTTAGCAATGTTATGTTGAAGTTAGTGGCTCTAATATTGTCAAATATGGTTAAATTCCAGGAATATGACATTCTAAGGCTCTTTATTAGCCATAGTTTTTCCCATCTGTCATATATAGGCAGGACAAATTATACCTGACTGCACAAAGCAGGAAATAAGGCAAGCTGGTAACTGAACATGTGTTGTGTTTTGAAGGCACCAACCCCTGTGCCAGGGGCAACGGAGGCTGCCAGCAGCTGTGCTTTCACCTGGGAAGCGGTCGGCGAACCTGCTCCTGTGCCCACGGTCGCTTGGCAGACGACGGTTTTGCCTGCGAGCGCTATGAAGGTTATTTACTCTTCTCTGAAAGAACTATCCTGAAAAGCATCCACCTCTCAGATGAGAACGACCTCAACTCACCGGTTCAGCCACTGGAAAATCCGGCTTTCTTCAAGAACATTGTTGCACTGGCCTTTGACTACAATCAGAGCAAATCTGGGACCAACCGGATCTTTTTCAGCGATGCACATTATGGAAATATACAGATTATTAACGACGACTGGGCAGGACGATATGTTATTGCAGAAAGTAAGTGGATTTCATTCTGGCAAAAACTACAGATTAATTACTTTCTTTTTTCCGCTTTTTCTTTATTGCAGACATGCTCTTACGTGCACATAAATTTTGGGACTTTAAGGGAGCCTTGTGTAAAAGCACAATAATTTCAGGTGGTTCATACCTTTTATGCCACGTCTACAGCCAAAGACACATTTATTGACACTTCTGGTAAAAGTCTACGGTGACATCATCTCTTACAGATATTCTTCTTTAAAACCAGTCTATCATTGAGTACATATATTCAGTTAACATGTTTTGAAGTTATTTTTTACCTAAACCATCTGTGGCACAAATATTTGAACTAAATTATTGTAGCTACAGCATTATTTTCA